AGTATCTAGCTTAGCTCAGCTTTATAACTTTAACCCCACACTTTGCTCTTTTAATTGAGAAAGCTCCTCGGATGTGAAACGAAACGTCTTCAGTTACAAATGAATTCCAGTTGTTTCTGCTTTTACACTTGTTTGGACAAAAATGTAAGTGTTCGCATAATAAGTGCTTGAATAGAACACAGCTGGATTTCATTTCATCTCTCCTCAAGTCCGCTTCTTCAGTGTAAATAATAGGTTGAGGTTTGTTTCAGTTTATCATCATCAAAACCTGTTTGTTTGGTTTGTTCTGATGATATGTGAAAGTTATTTTTTTTAACTAAGTTCTGATATTCAGTGAGTCATATACCCATGATGGTAGAATTTCTGCAGGATGTTTTTTTGTTAAAGTCTTATTGAAAAATTAATTTTATTTTCTTCTTTGTAACTTTTACAATGGTATGATTGCCACAATTTATTCTAGGAAAGGATATGATTCAAAACTTTCAGTAACTAAGATAAAGGTGGAATCCAGCTGCTCCTGACTGGATGTTTGGAGAATATTCAGAGCTGCTGACTGGTCTGGAGTTGGTCCTGTAGTATTTAGTACAAACCTTTAACTCGTTTAATCATTCCTTGAACCACCTGCTGCACATGGCCAAATGTCAAATCTGTTTTACACTATTTTGCAACAGAAATGCTGAATTTGCATTCTTCAAACTGTACCTACATTTTATACTTATAGTGATGCCTAAATATGTTCATTTATCTGTGGATTTGTAGGTTAGACGGGAAAAAGTAGAATAAAATCGACATATATGCTTCAAGGTTGCTCATTACCCCCAAACCGTTCTGCCAGCTCCAGAGCTGATCTCAGCATCGTCGTTAAGCGTGCAATTCACTACCGTGTCATATGCTCCATTTTTATCTGTCACGTTGGTTTGTGCATGATGGCTGCTGATCCTTGGCTCATTAAGAAGTCTCACCCTCCTCTGCTTGCTGCTGCTCTTGCTGCCACTATCGCATCTCCTTGAAACGCTGCGACTCTGACTCATGTTTGTCCTTGACTGACACCCTCATCTTTTCTTCCTAGGAGCTTTCCATACTTGCCCCCACTTATCCAGATTTCTGATTTGTATTTTGCACTTCTCTTATTATTTTTTCCTCATTAACTTTGCCCTCATTTGTTCTGTGTATATGCTGATTCTCCCTACTGATCATATTTCCACTGACCGTTTTTTTCCTCTTCTCTGTCATCTCGGCAGGAGCTGGTGGGCAGTAACCCTCCGCAGAGGAACTGGAAGGGAATAGCGATCGCCCTCCTTGTCATTCTGGTCATCTGCTCGCTGATCGTCACCTCCGTCATCCTGTTGACACCAGGTACATGGCGCAGGACAGAAGGGGGAGGGCGCCACCACTGCATACACTTCACGTTGCTCTATTTACACAGCTATTGTTATGCACAGACATACCCATTAGAGTTCACAATCAATCTCTGCACAAACAACACGAAGAACAAAGCACAAGTGTCAGTGTTTCTCTGTCCTTGTGTGACCCGGGCACCGGTGCAGTGTTTGGACTGTTGCCCTAATATCACTCTGTACGTCCGAATGGGTGCTCTTGCTTGAACAAATTTAGTCAAGGTCAATAAAACTCATTGAATTTAGCTTGTGGAACATTACTTTGTTCTTAAATAGGTCCCTCATGTGCCCCTGCACTTGGTCACATCCTTTTTGTTGTTGTCTGAGTTTCACTTGGTTGTTTTAAAGCATCCAAGTTTCATTTGTGTCTGACCTTCAGGCTTCCTTTCTTTTGCAGGTTTAATCAGTAGAACATCTGTTTGCATTCAGGCTCATAAAGCTCCTTGAAATGGTTTTATGCACTGCCACCGTGGAATCAGTTAATATAGCTGTCAGTCTATGAGCTCTATAATTAATTTATAACAACAGCTCGACCTTGTTTATGATGCTGTGTCTTGGAAAATTGCAAGTAATGTTTCCTAAAATGTTGAAAGTGGGGTGGCAAAGCAGGGTCACTGACTACAAAAGGATCTAAGTTCATTTACCTTTCTGTGTGTAATTAATGGTTTTAGAAAAGTTTGAGACCCTGTTTACACGAGAACAACCTCTGGAAAAGTTAGTGTTTTTTCAATGTTTAAACACAAACAAGTGGGTTTGCATGAGAACACTGTAGTATGTTGCCAGATAAGAAATTATGAACTAGTGCTGTCGCTTTAAAATGAAAGTATTTTGACCTAAACTGTCATATGTGCTGAGTCAGCATGTTGTAAGATGAACTGTGTATTGTGTTTGGAGAACATGTGCTCAGAAAAGGAGGGTGTAACTCAGACCTTTTAAATTTATCTGGCAACCCTGATGCCAGGCTCAGCTGCATTCATCGGGCATGCAGCGTCTGCATGATCAGTTACGTTCAAACTGGTGAACCCACTAACGTCTCTTTGGACCCTGGATTTTATTGGTTTTGCTCCTACATCCTGAAAAATGGTGAGCAGCACAAAAACATTCTGCTCTTTGTCATTTATTATAACTGTTGTTAGTGCAGAAAAACTTTGGACTGCAGACGCCTGTAGTGTACATGTGCAACTTCACACTTGTGGAGCATTTCATATCTCCGCGGGGGGTTCCCCTGAAAATCTCTACTCTGAGATCTGAATTCAGAAACTTTCGGTTTCAGAGAGAACGACGGCTGCTGTCGTGTAACTGAACGGCCGAACCGCAGCATAAAAGCTGCAGTTTCACTCCAAAAAGGTGTCATGTAAACACAACCTAAAAGTACCACCAGTGTACAACTCAATGTAATGTCAGGCTGCAGTGCAACGTGGCTTAAACTGTGTTTCCCTTTTTCTTGCTCTGACCTGGTCTTGGTCTGAGTTGTTGCTGATGAACTGGAACAAAACAAAATAGAGAGTTTGGAAAAAAATGATGACCAAGCAAGGGTGTACTCTCTCTTATTTTTTTACCTTGTCTCAAAACGTCCTCTGCGTCCTTTACTTGTTCAAACAGAAACATTGTCTCCACTTCAAGTCTCCACACAGACTGAATTTCTTATCCTGTTGAATCTCAAAGACTCTCCACTGAAGGATATTTTGTTTTTGAAAAGGTTATTAGTATTAATAAATGTACTGGCCTTGTCAAAGTTGGTTTTAAAAGTTGATCTGAATTAATTAGGTGTGCGGAGACACAGAATAGAGCCTGAAGATGCTGTGACTCTGTAATTCATTCCTCAAGGACATTGGTTTGCTTGTGCAAAAACTTTTTTTAACTCCTTCTTGGGGTTATCACATGTGGGATGAATCCCTAAATTCTAATACGTTTAAAAGATGTCTTTTTTTGCTCACAATATTAAAAAAACATATCCCCAAAACATTTAGGCCAAACAGGTAAGCATTTTTGGAAAATATTTTGTTAATTACAATAGTTTTTGTAGGAGTGAACCAAAAAAAAAGAAGAAAATCAATCGAGTGACCGTTTGCTTTCAAACAACATCGATTCTTATGCATCCACTTGCACAAAGTCAATCATTTTGTAGGATTGAATTCCCGTGAATGAGTAAACCAATTGCATCAAACAGGTGCTAATGATCATCATTTTCATGTGTAGGTTGAAACACTCATTAAGTGAAACAGAAACAGCTGTGCTTAAACTGGACGAGGAACAGCCAAACTTTACTACCAACTATACAACCCCTGGTAAAAATGATGGCATCACCACTTTTGTAGGATGCCCCCTCAATTGTTTAACTTTGCAATAAAATAAATCTTGTCAACAGGTCTCTCTTGTAAATGAGTCCTCGAGGCTCAGTGACACTAACCTGTATAAATAAAGGTTGAACTGAATTGAATTGCATTGTCACAAAACCAAATCAGTTTTCAAAATTCCAACCCTCTGGCTTTAGGAAACAATAAAATAAAAATATATATAAGTGTTTTAGTCAGTCACCGTTGCTTTCATTTATCAAGTAGAGGAAATAAATGGTAAACTGACTATACAGCACCTTTCTATCTTATCAAGATACTGCCATTCATGCAGCACTCTACTACAGGTCCTTCTCAAAGAATGAGCATATTGTGATAAAGGTCATTATTTTCCATAATGTAATGATAAAAATGAAACTTTCA